AGCATCATCAGCACAATTGGGGGTCTGTCTTGGGCCTTGGGTTCAGTCAAAGACGTGAAGGGGTCAACGCGAGGAAGCTAATCCAGTTTTGAAGAGAAATTATCCTGCTTTCTTGAGGTTAGGATTTCAGAGATCAGCACCGAAGTCGGTGCCCAGATATGGGGTGGCTTGCGGGCAGGTAGGGTCTTAAATAATGGGCGTTAACACTGCATAACAAGATGACGACGCTGGGGATGAAAATGAGAATGATGATGGTCTAGCTGCATAGCGCCATGTGCGCTTGAGCTTCAGCGGCGGCACCCATTTGACGAAAATACCCAGCATGTAGCTTCGGGTATGGACTTGATAAGTAGCGTTGCAAGGAATCTACAGGGCACCTCGATGCAAACGCTTCTGCAGACTTGTGGGCTGGCACATGATTCTGCCAATAGGCCAAGGCGTCACTGCATTCTCTACACAAAACCTGTAGGCTTGGTGAAGCATCTACACTCCTCATACCGGTAAACTCTACATCAAAAGATCAGGCGGGGTCTTAACTCGCACACAGCACACTGCACAAAATGGCTACGGTTGCTTAATCTCTGCAATGGCGTAGACTGCATGTTTCTGATGTGGGATCTACTTCAGCGCTTCTGGCGTCATGCCTACATATTCCGCAGACACATCCCGAGGAAAGCTGAACGTGCCCCCCAAAACCAAACACATTTTGAGACAGCTTTCGAAGGATCCCCCAGTTTCCCAGAACAAGCCACATCCACTCCAGCCTGAGCTGCCAAAAAAGCCGAAGATCCGGCCGGTGGACCCTTGCAAGGACGGAGAAGTTCCGATGATGTCAATAGAACACCCGAACAGGAATTCCTCAAACCTGGGATAGCCAACTAATCATGATGGCACTGATGAAAACTAAATGCTACGAGAACTGGTAAAAGATCAACACTACTACGTAGCACGAACTAGCCCTAGACTGGTCAATGCTCTCAGGAGGCCTTGCCTTCTCCATTTAGCACCAAGGAACAAGCTGGCAACCCCAACCCACACCCCAAACTTCCCAAACCCGAAAGTTGTCACTCTGTAGCAGTCGAGGTGCCCAAACTGACATAAGTTGCTGCTGCACCACGGTCAATCGCGCCATCAACTGGTCCATCTGTTGCTCCTGGACCGATACTGCCGTCAGAATAGTTGGAGGTTTCTGGATGGACCAAAACTCTAGGAATGCGCGGGGGCAAGAGGCATGTAAGGGGCCTTTGATAACATACGCGCGATCATATGAGAAAGTCCCACTCCCTAAATTATGGTAGCATCCCCAAGCTCTGCCCGGCTTGCAAGGAACCACTTTGAAGATTGAGAAGTATGCACATAAACATTGCAACTTCCTTAAGTTAACAGTATCAACTTAAATGCCTGCCAGCTTCCAAACAGAAGGCATACACATGGTTCCTTTTTGTCAAGGCAGATGAGGCACAGTCGGCACACCTGATGCAAAGCCTTACGGAGCCTTGTAACAGAATACCAGGAAATTCAGTATTGGTTTGATACCTGAAGCTTTTCCAGATACGCATGTAGCAAAGGCATCTTGGCCTTCGCCATTTCTCTTTGAAGCACCTGCAAGCGCGCCAAGCACAGAAAACTCTTTCAATTCTAGCAGATGACCAGTACGCCCTCTACTGCGACGACTGCGACTGCAGATCCTACCACGCTATGATTTTCTGCTTACGTCTTCGTAGCACTTCCATTCTGACACAACTGTCCGAAGCACCGTCTAAATATTCATCCGCTCATGTGCACAAAAAACAAGCTTGCTTCCAAAGGACAGCCACGAAATTGAACTCCGAATTTTACAGCTATCCTCCTATTCTCCTTCTGAGGGTACTAACATCATCGCTACAACGCCTATAGACGCCCCAAGCAATCGCCACTGTCAGCATTCTGTGCAAGGGTCATGTTATCTGGCTCCTGGCCTTGTCAACCTGCAACAGCTGCAAGTGCACCTGCGGAAGGGATACAGAATCAACTGATAGTGGCACGTGTCAAACTGGCTGAAGTGTAATTCACACTGCACCAGTAAGAATTTTGATACTTCCTACCACTGGACATTGACAGCTGTGCCAGCAGGAGCTGTATAAACTCAAATTTCAGAACTGCGCCCAAACACCTCGAAGCCCGAAACCCCTCCGTGCCTGCTCGAGCTCAGGGTTTGGAGCCTGGTGCACTTCTAACTTGCAGCTTTTGATGCAGCTAAAAGCATAATTGGCCGCTCTTGCGATGATTCACCCTTCTTTTTTGCTGTGCCGAGAGCGGCGCAAGATCGTTCATTCTGCCCTGGACCTGGTCGATGGCATCCTCCAAGGCGCCAGCGTTCAGCAGAACAGGCCAGGCATCAACAAACGACAGACACATGCAGGTAGAGCAGGAGTGATGGCAGCAGAGGAAGATCAGCAAAGTGAAAACGCTACTGTCATGTGGTAGGGCTTTCTCGGCAGCCAGTCCTTGTGGTGTTTCAGGAGATCCGCATTATGGTTGTGGGCCTCGAACAGGCAGGCAGGCACGGAGGGACTTCGGGAGTTGCCTGGGGTGGCACTTTGAAGCCACCAGTCATCAATAGATGCCCCTTAAAAATCAACCAGGCAAATCGTCTTCTCCTAAAATGCTGCCTAGTTGGTTTCTTCCGCACATCCATCCAAATTGCACTTTTTGGCAACTTGCCATGTGCCTCTGATGCCACGGCATGTTTAGGATGTAGGTCTTGTGTTGTATACATCCCAGACTAACTTTGGCAGATCATGAAGATGCCTGCTCCCAAATGGCAATTGCCGGTCTGCCACTTTGCACGTTTCCGCGCAGGCTCCACCCAAAACAAAAAGAACCCCCTAGACCACAGAGCGATTTCCCGCATGCCAGACCCCACCTGGATGGTCTGCCAGAGCTCGTGCTTCAGAGTTCCAACCTGGGGCTTCTGATTCAGGATTGGGATGGGGATTATAATTTGCAAATGGTAGTCTAATGGTCTAGTGTCCTGTTCCCATAAATAATGGCTACGGGAACGACTTGGGACAAATGCAACTACCTGTACCACCACCTCCATCATGGCGACTCAGTAGCAGGTTGCAAAGGACATGGGGAGAAGTAGTAGCAGTAGCAGAAGCAGCTGCAATGCCAGAAGAAGAGGAAGAGGCAGCAGCGGTACTGTTAATGCAAAAGCCTGCATGCCCTTGGTATACTAAGGTACAAGGTCCTTGAGGTCATGCAGATGTAAGCACCGTGGCATCACTACATCGAGTACTGCTGCAATTGCAATCGCAGCGATGCTCTCCCAGAAGGTCTCCGGAACTGGCACCACATGCATCATCTATCATCTTCACTGAAAGATGAACCCTGACTTCTCCTCAATACCTTCAATCGCTCCATATTGTGAATACCAGTTTCTGAACTGTCGTTGCCGTGCAGCATCTATTCAATTCCGCCAGACCCTGACCCGAAGCTACGTAACCCAAGCAACAA